TTTCTGCCATAGTTTTAGTGACTGGAGACTTTCAAACTTCCAAACTGAACTTTAGAACTTTATATGATCTGAGAAAGAGGAAAGCCAAACAAACAAACAAAGGAGTCCCCTTTATTAAAGCGTCCAAAGTGTGATCTAGCCAATAGAGTTCCTAATTTTCTTATTGTTCAAGCTTTTTCCCTTTCCCTTAGGCTTCAAGTCAGGGGAGGAGAAGTTTAATGACATTCATAAAGCCCTTTCCTCCAAACCTAAAGTCTGAGCAACCAAACTTAGGTCTGGTCTACACTAGGAGATAAGTTTGAATTAAGATACACAGCTTCAGCTACATTAATTGCATAGCTTAAGTCAAAGTATCTTAACTTGAATTTTGGTGCCATCAACTCTGTGGGAAGTCAAAGGGAGCGCACTTTCCCTTTGACTGCCCTTACTCCTCATAGAAGCACAACTACTGGCATTGACTGGAGTGTCCCACTCAGTTTGAATTAGTGTGTCTTCACTAGATCCGCTAATTCAAACCCTGGAAGATTGACTGTGGCTGCTTCAATCTTCTCTGTAGTGTATATGTTGCCTTACAGTCAGAAAACAAAATAGCCTAGGTCACACTGGCATCTTGATGCCTTGGAGAGAGGGGGCGGAAAATGAGGCCTGCAATTTATAGCTGCCAGCATAGTTTCTTGTCCCTGTTATCAGGTCAACTTTCTTTTCCTGTTTATATAACCCAGCTCCAAGAGATGGACAGGATGTTCCTTGATTGTGCACAGGATGTCTTGACTGTAAGCTTTGGACCATATTTTAAAAGAGTAGAATACATTGCCACAGGAACGTTCTTTTATTTTGGACCAAAATACCTGTATCCGTTGCATTTAATAGCTTGTTACAAGTAGTACTTGCTTACCCAGAATTTGGGTGTTGATACTAAGCACTTTCAGAAGATTGAAGTCAAAATCTTCAGGGACTAGGGATGTAAGCGACTAGTCAACTACCAGATAAGTGTATGCTTATCAGCAGGGCTCGCCAAGCAGCGACGAGCTCTGCTCGCCAGCTGCGCTGAAGCTCACGCTGCGCATACGCAGACTGCACTGCGCATGTGCTGACCGTGCTGTGCGCTCCCACTGGGCTAAAATCTACTCGCCATGGGGGAGTAGATTGCCTGATTTGTTGAGCCCTGCTTATCAGATAGTTGATTAGTGATTCAACTGGTCACTTTCTCTCCTGCTTGCTGCCTTTATCAGAGAAAGGCTGTGGAGGGCGGGGTAGATGGGGAGAGGGGGGAAGCAGGAGCCAGTGCTGGGCAGAGCGGGCTTAAAAGCTGGTTCCCCCCAGCGCATTTCAAAAGCAGAAGCACTGTAGGAGCACAGGGTGAGCAGGGGACTCAAGCAGTCTCCCGCTGGCCCGACATTCCCTGCTTTTGAAAAAAGTCAGATGGGACTCTTGTACATTTCAAAAGCAAAGCGTGTGCGGGGAACATGGAGCCAGCGAAGGACTGCTTGAGTCTCAGCTGGCTCCATGCTCCCCATGGCACTTCCACCTTTGAAAGGTAGTGAGAGCTGGCAGGGCTCTTGCTATAATTCAAAGGCTGAGCACCCTTATCGACTAATCGAATAGTTGATGCAAATTGCATTGACTATTTGATTAGCTGATTAATCTAAATTTAACATCCTTATCAGGGACCTTTAGAAGGGAGGATTCAAGACAGGAGTTTTGGCCCAAAGTTCTTTGTGAACATATATGAGTGTACCTGTCTGTATAATTTAAAATATTTTTACTTTCAGTTTTGAGTTTCCAAGGCCTGTTTACCTGGCCTGAATCTTACATCTTTTACATAAGTAAAAATAATATTTTGTTTATTATCTTAATTTTGACACCAAAGCAGGTACAAATATTCAGCTACTCACATATGCAAACACACTGAGTTTTGTGTAGACATTACCCAACTTTGATGGAAACAAACTCACATGATTAATTTTACTATGTTGACAAATGATCCAGGAAATAGTTTTTGGCAATTATTCCAAACATTTTGGATCTAGGCTCCTAGCCATGTTCCATTTCATTGTTGTATTCTTGAGGACTGGAATACATTCAGTGCTAAACCAATCTTTTGTTTTCTTTACAGTCAGCTGCAGAAACAGATGTAATGAGCCATTTAGTAAAAAGGGCCAGAGCTGTGGGTGTGACAATGGCTGTAAAGAGCTTCAAAACTGCTGCTGGGATTATGAGACTACCTGCTTGGAACCAAGTATGTTTCCTCAAAAATGAGATTTGTTAGCTTAGTCTTTTTATTATTTTTTGTGGAAGGAGGGTGAGGGGAAATGATACATGTGCTGTGTTTCTGCCACAAGTACAGAGGCAAAAAAAGCTCCCAGACATCATTTGTATCTTAGGGTATGTCTACACTGCCACCCTAGTTCGAACTAGGGTGGCTAATGTAGGCATTCGAAGTTGCAAATGAAGCCCGGGATTTAAATATCCCGGGCTTCATTTGCGTCTTGCTGGGCACCGCCATTTTAAAATCCCCCTTAGTGCGGACTCCGTGCCCGCGGCTACACGTGGCACGGAGTAGGTAGTTCGAATTAGGCTCTCTAATTCGAACTACTGGTACACGGAACGAGGTGTACCAGTAGTTCGAATTAGAGAGCCTAATTCGAACTACCTACTCCGTGCCACGTGTAGCCGCGGGCACGGAGTCCGCACTAAGGGGGATTTTAAAATGGCGGTGCCCAGCAAGACGCAAATGAAGCCCGGGATATTTAAATCCCGGGCTTCATTTGCAACTTCGAATGCCTACATTAGCCACCCTAGTTCGAACTAGGGTGGCAGTGTAGACATACCCTAAGATACAAATGATGTCTGGGAGCTTTTTTTGCCTCTGTACTTGTGGCAGAAACACAGCACATGTATCATTTCCCCTCACTCTCCTTCCACAAAAAATAATTGTTATGCCATGCCATGAATTCTGAGGCTGCTGTATATATGCTGAATGCGTGTTTCTTGTAACTGAATGTAACATATGAAATCTAAACTGGAATTAATATTTTTCCTGAAATATATACATTTTTTTAATTAAAGATGTATGTACATCAGTAAACTTTTTAATCAAGTATATGTGTTCACACACAAAAAGACTAGGCCAATATAAAACCAAAAAGAACTAGATGCTATCATGAAAGATAGGTCCATCTATGTTTATTAGCCAGGATGGGAAGGAATGGTGACCCTAGCCTCTGTTTGTCAGAGGTTGGGAATGGGTGACAGGGGAGAGATCACTTTATAATGACCTGTTTTGTTCATTGCCTCTGGGGCACCTGGTAGACAGGATACTGGGCTAGATGGACCTTTGGTCTGACCCAGTATGGTCATTCTTATGTGCTTAATTATCCAGATACTTCAGCTTGAATACACTGGGTTAGAAAAACTTTAAACCCAATTTAAATGAGTATAAATAATGAGGCATAAAAGTCATAAATGGCTACAAGAAAAATAAGGTATAACCTTTCTAATGCCTAACTTAACATAGTGATAGAAATGTAGCCGTGTTAGTCTGGTGTAGCTGAAACAAAATACAGGACTATATAGCACTTTAAAGACTAACAAGATGGTTTATTAGATGATGAACCATCTTGTTAGTCTTTAAAGTGCTACATAGTCCTGTAATTTGTTTTAACTTAACATGAGATTCAATCACAGTTTCACACTGCATACTTTCATCAGTCTTATGGACCAAAGCCTTTAGGTAAGATCACCCTCCTATAGAGTCCAATGGCTGCTTCCTTTGTCTCAGCGAGGGGGTG